AAACCACTGACAGGGTTAATTGTGGCCGGAGACACCACCCTGGTGTATTTGCACAATGGGAAGGGGTGCACCGAGTGAAACTGTGATCAGAGCACATGACCGCAAACGCTGCATTTTTTGTTTTATTTCACCCCATGACAGATTGCAAAATCCTGTAACTTACAGTAAGACTAAAATAAATCTGACAGGGCGTGGAGTCCACAGAGAACCAACAAAATAAAAAATTAACAACAAATAAACGAGAGCAGAGGTCAATCCAAGTGAAAGGAACAGGTTTGGGAACTATTGTTTCCAGGATTTAATAGGGGAAGGTTTGAGCTGGTCCCACACTGGCCAGTCGGCCCATAACGGGACAGATTCTAATTGCCAATGAAAGGCAGACTGGTTATCATTCATACATAACGGTCTAAGAGAGGTCTGGGGGTCCTCCTGATGAGAACGATGCGAGGCTCAATGGGGTGGTTATAGAGGCAGATATTGTTCAATTAACTGAATAAAAATAATTATTCTGTAATTCCATTTTAGTTGTTGATGTTTGCAAACAGTACAGGTGACATGGGGTTCTCGTGATAGTCCACCTCCTGATCCAATGCAGCTACTCAATGCTCCTGCCCAGCCACAGCCTGGTTATTTACAAAACTTTGACAAAAGGACTTGCGCAATCAAATCATGCATAGTAGATGTACTGGGAGGGCCGCCCATACATGTGTAACTATAGACTGTAAGCTGGTTTGAGCAGGGTCCTCTTCAGCCTATCGTTCCTGTAAGTTTTCTTGTAATTGTCCTATTTATAGTTAAATCCCCCCTCTCATAATATTGTAAAGCGCTACGGAATCTGTTGCCGCTATATAAATGGCAATAATAATAATGGAGATCAGGCCTGGAGACAGACAGACAGGCAAGACAGACACACACACACACTGTCCCCAGGGCATTACTGGCTTGTGTTGGGGGAGGGGACACTGACGTACCAACAGGCAATACAGTGTCTGTACCTTCATGGCCAGAGGTAAGAAGCAGAGAAGGGGATACTGGCCTTAAATATAAATAAAAACCTGCCCCTTTCTCACCCCCACAAAAAAAAAAAAACAGCCCCCTATCCTACAAAGTCTCACACACTGCATCCCTGTGGGAGGACTCGAGGGCCCATGCCTAAAGCAGCCCTGTTACTGGGAATGCAATTCTGTTTTGTTATGTACAAACCGGAAAATCCAGCAGATCTAACAAGTTTAAATTCCTCTGCTACATTCTTTGGATAAAAAAGTGATGTCTGCACCATGTGATGCTAAAGAATTTATCATCTATTGTAAACTAGCTTAGTATGCATTGTAAGCTCAAGTACACATTAGCGTAATTGTAACTGGATTTCTATAATTCTTTCATTGAGTACAGCAAGATAACGCCAACACACAACCATTCTACAATATCAAGTATCCACCTAAACAGCCCAGACAGAGTAGGAAGCCGATCCAAAAGGAGGTCAGTCCACAGCGGTACAGGGAGCAACTCCATAAGTCCCAAATAAGCAAAAAAGCCCTCCAAGGGATAAGGAAATCCCAATAAATTCTTCTACATAAAATTAAAGCTGCGCTTGGAAATTTCCTGTGACCGACTCTTTTGCGCATGCTCACCAAACAGCCTTAGGCGGGTTTTTTTTTGTGCATGTCGTGAGATGTTTGTCTCCATAATAATGAGAAATGGCAAAATGTAAGCTTTCGATGCTCAATCAGACTACGTTTGCCAATTTAAGAGAAGCCAAGAGGAGATTCTACTTATGTTGAAAGTGGAAATGTACAGTAATCAACTACTTCCTGTTCTCCAAATTTCAAAGTGCGAGCATTTGCCCAGCATTTTAAAACTGTCAATGTGTACATTTATATGATCTGAAAAAAAATCTAAAAAGACCACAAACGCACTAGAATACTCTGTCTACTCAGGTCCTTGATGAGCACCGTTAAAAAAATGTCTCACTTGTGCCCTGTCCTTCATGATATCATGCTGTCACTTATATGGCTCACAATGTATTTCTGAGCAAGGCTTAAAAAATGTCTCTATAATGAAGGATCCGAGATTTATATGCCATGTAAACCACAGAGCTGCCTTGATGTTGGGCAAGAGAAAAGGGTGGTTCTAACTTTTTATCTTCCAACAGGGCGATAAATGTTGAGCACCAAGTCCCATTTCTCTGTCTCCATGACAACAAGGCACACTGGACTTATCAAGTCCAGTTTCCGAATATTATTGCGCTATAGTCCTGCGAATAATATCCCAGCCAGAGATGTGAAGCTCACAGGTGAATTCTGAAGCGCGCTCTCTCGTTATCCTCAAATGTTCCCTCAAAACCCATCTTAAAATAGAATTACTGTAATAATTCAACTGAGCCCATGTTCATGAAAAATACCTGACAGCTAACTTTAAGCTGTGCCAGGCGTCTCACCAGCCCCGTTAGCCTTTCAATTGTAAGCCTACAGGCCAAGCTCTCAAGATGTATTCTGTTTTACATTGTTATTCAGCCTGAAAAAACTGTAACAACTCCAAATCCTTTGTGTTCACCCTTTCACACATCTGTCTCTGCTGCTTTAGAAAGGGAAGGTGCTAAGCCCAATTTGAAGCTCTTCTCAATTGCACCGCTTAGAGGAAAAAATTATTCCACTCTCAAATGCAAAGTGGCAGTCGGATTCCTGCTTTGATGAACAAGCTGTCAATACCCTGCATATTTAAATATCGCTTTAAAGAAAGACTATAAAGATCTCCAGAGACAGACTTTTCCACGTCTTTATCTTTCGTACTGTAAAGAGCTTGTTCCTCTGCTGTACTGTATGGTAAATACTGCAGATTACCAGAAAACGGTTTGGATTGTCTCTGCGTATATTAGTACCATGTATCTCTAGATTTGTCTCACCAAGCTTTGTTATTCCCTTATAAATAAATTTTACAAAAAAATATATTTCTCTGCAGTATAACAGTCATATTATATAAAGGATACGCTCTTTAACAAACTGTGCCTTGATATAATACAATGTTTCTTTCACAAAGAACTAGGTGGGAAATGTATCAGATGAATTTTTCAAAAAGGGGAAAATACGGTCATAGCTTCATAATCCGTTCACGCACGATCTGAAACCAGAACCGAGGTAATCTATGTGTGCCCTACTGTAAGTGCCTGAGACGGAACATTTCAAACGAACTCTGGTCCACCTGCAGTGTGTTTGCTGACTGCAGGATTCCTCTGATACGTCATCGATAGATAGAAGCAGTAAATTCTCAATCTGCCCAGATCCATGCAGAAAAGGACATGCTCTAATGACCAGAAAGAGATGGCTATGATGCTGTAATGCATAACATTGATTACATCAATAACGAGGGGCACTCAATGGTATTGTTTCTGGGGATGGATCGTAAATACCCATGAATTATGTCACATACAGACTACAAAGGGCAGAAGATGATGTGACATGTTCTCAATAAATAAACAACACTGGGGATACACAATTTTGTACTGCTCTATGTCTATGAGAAGCACACACCCATTGCTACAATCACTAGTTCCGAATTGGGGGTTTTTTCTCCCCTTTCGAATCGAAGACATTTTGTTTTTTCTGATTATTAGAATCTGCAAATTATGTTTATTAAAAGGATACTTTAAGCACCAAAACAACTTTAGTTTAATAAAGCAGTTTTGGTGTATAGATCTTGCCCTTGCAGTCTCACTGCTCAATGCTCTGCCATTTAGGAGTTAAAGGGATACTATAGGTACCAAATCAACTTTAGTTTAATAAAGCCATTTTATTGTATAGATAACACCACTGCCGTATCACTGCTCAATTCTCTGCCATTTAGGCATTAAATCACTTTTGTTTCTGTCCATGCACCCCCAGCCACAAACCCTGTGGGTATAACTCACACAGAATTTTTTTTTTTTTTTTTTTAATCAGATGTTAACTTGCTAAAAATAATTTTGTTTCCTGCTTAGGAGATGATATATTCTAAATTAAACAAACTGTGCAATCAAGGAAGTTTAAATACTAGATGTCTCTTTACATTAAGTGTATAGGAAGGATGTGCAAGTCACACGTGTCTAGAGCTGCATTAAAAAAGTGATTCTGCAGGGGCATGATCTATAAACCAAAACTGCTTCATCAAGCTAAAGTTTATTTGGTGCCTACGGTGTTCACTTTTGTTTCTGTTTGTGCAGCCCAAGCCACACCTCCCCTAGCCGCATGAAAGATAATGGTCCCAGTTTTTAATCAGTTCTTGCAGCACAGTGTGTTTAGTGCTATGCTAATTTAACTTTTATCACACACAGGAGGTTCTAGAAGGCTATTAACAGAAAAGGAGATAAGAAATTCTATTTTATACACACTGTGCAATATGGGATCCAAAAAAATATAGACTTTTTTTCTAGGATGCTTGCAAGGCAGCTGTGTTGGTCTCAGTGAGGATAGTCGTGTGTAGGCTGGTATAGACAAAGTGATCTAACTCCTAAATGGCAGAGTATTGAGTGGTCAGGCTGAAGGCCATTAAATATACAATCCAAAACCACTTAATTAAGCTAAAGATGTTTTACTGCTTAAAGTCATAAAAGTCATAACAAAGCAAGTTACTGGACAACTTATTGCGTAATTTGCAAAACTGCAACTCAATACATTTTACCAAAAACTCTGGCCTAACGTGAGTCTAGAGCTGAGGCCAGAAAATATGGTGATTTGTTACATCATATTCTAACTGTGTATGACAAATTACAAAATGAGTGACAGGTTGACAATTTGTGACATGAGATGCAATTTTGCCAACTCTTACAAAAATTGTGATTATTTACACTGCCATTGATACAACTAGGGCACAGATTTAACACAGCCAATGTGTAAATATTCTGCAGACATACCGTATATTGGTGGGAAAGTCAAACTATTCCGTAGGGTGTTTATGAGCTGTGACTAGAACACACCATTCGGAATCCTACAGGAAGATTCTACACCTGACCGTAGCGAGATCCTACATCAACAATCAGCTACAAATCTACGGAAAAAGATAAAGAGATATTTTGTATTCCTGGATGCCAGAGCTTATTCACCGACTGATTCTGGCAAGAAATTTCGAAACAGCAAGTGAAATATTGCTATCATTACAACAAATGAGCTCATTATTGCCATCGCCAGTTACCTTCGGTGGGAAAGAAATGGGAGAAATTATTCAGTGTAAAAACACTGGGGGTCCTAAAAACAAATCTGTGTCCCACAGCAAAAGCCTTGATTTCCTTTAAACTCAATTACAGAGCTCAGTCCAGCAGGCAAGCACATGTAATTGATTAACGAACAGGTCAGACATTTTTATAAATCAGACCTGGATTATATAGAAAAATGTACCGGTAAACTGACAAAGTTAGGGCAGTGACCATCAACGGTGTAGAAAGGATGCCAGATGCATTTTGAGGAAACCCATTCAGAAAGATTTTTTCATTAAAAAGATACCTTCCATTCTAAGCCTCAGAATGCTTCGTTCCAACTGTACATTGTAGAAGCATATATTGGTGTGTACAAATTATAACATAATAAGCATACAAATTTCTCATCGGTAATCCCACAAAAATATATAAAATTCCATGCTAATATATTTACTAATGTAACCGTGTAGCAATAATGTTGCAGGTGAATGCATTTTCATTTAACATTACCTTCCAAGCACCATAACCACTACAGTGCTTACCTCTACTGAGCTAAGCACCGCAGTGCAGGGCCAGCTCACTTGCAGAAGAGAATCAGCTGATCACTCACAGCCAATGAGCCAAGCCCTGCGCCAAAGCTTAGTGTTTTAGCTCAGTGAAGAGATGTACCGGCTGCAGACAACTTACATCAACGAGGCATCAGGGTACTCTGGTATCCGGAATGGTTATAGTGCTTGGAGTTACATAGTTACATGGCTCAAAAGAGATTTGCATCCATTAAGTTCAGCCTTCCTCACGTATGTTTTTGCTGTTGATACAAAAGAATGCAAAAAACCTGGTCAGAAGCCCTTCCAATTTTGCAATAAACTAGGAAAAAATTCCTTCTTGACCCCAAAATAGCAGTCAGATGTCTCCTTGGATCAAGCAGCAATTACCCCACTAATTAGACATTATATCCCTGTATGTTATTTTTTTGGAAGTATTTACCCAATTGCTGTTTAAACATCTGTATGGACTCTGATAAAACCACCTCTTCAGGCAGAGAATTCCATATCCTTATTGCTCTTACTGTAAGGGAAACCTTTTCTTTGCCTTAGATTAAATCTCCTTTCTTCCAGCCTAAACGCGTGACCTCGTTTACTATGAATAGCCCTGTTTATGAATAGATTACCAGATAATGGTTTGTACTGGCCCCGAATATATTTGGATAATGTTATCATATCCCCTCTCAGGCGCCGTTTTTCCAAACTAAATATAATTAAATTTTTTCATCTTTCTTCGTAACTAAAATGCTCCATTCTTTTTTTTTTTTTTATCAATTTTGTAGATCGTCTCTGCACTTTTTTCAGTGCCATGATATCCTTTAGAACAGGTGCCCAAAATTGCACAGCATATTCAAGGTGTGGTCTCTGAAAAGTCAGTGTTTACATTGAAAAGAAAACAGGGACATGTAACCGACACCAGAACAACTACATTAAGCTGTAGTGGTTCGGGTGACTATAGTGTCCCTTTAAGGAAATATATTTTTGCTGTTTGAAAATAAAGCTTTAGTTTAAAAAAAAAAAAAAAAACAACCTGTCTCCTAACTTTTTTAGCTGGCTCCCATTTTCAAAGCAAAATTGTCAAGCCTTGTCAAAAACACTACAGCTCACATCAGTGTTCCTTGTATTTAAAGATCCATTTATAAAGTATTCTCAGTTTTCCGGTCACTGGATTTGCAGCAGTCATCGAGCAATCTCTGAGAAATCAGAGGGCAGTAGTTTATCTCATCTACTTTTTTAGGCTCTATTCAATAATACAATAACAATGGAAGTGTGCCTTTAGAATCCTACAAGAAGCCTTACAATCAACACTAACGTTTAATGCTAAAATTACAATTATTTAAACAATACAAAAATATTCCAAAACTAAAATAATTAATTATTAGGGGATCTGGTATTTGAGGGAATTGGTATAACACACTGCCATACATATAGCTATACCCAGCCTCTCTCTGTGTAGCACACTGCCATACATATAGCTATACCCAGCCTCTCTCTGTGTAACACACTGCCATACATATAGCTATACCCAGCCTCTCTCTCTGTGTAACACACTGCCATACATATAGCTATACCCAGCCTCTCTCTGTGTGACACACTGCCATACATATAGCTATACCCAGCCTGTCTCTGTGTGACACACTGCCATACATATAGCTATACCCAGCCTGTCTCTGTGTGACACACTGCCATACATATAGCTATACCCAGCCTGTCTCTGTGTAGCACACTGCCATACATATAGCTATACCCAGCCTCTCTCTGTGTGACACACTGCCATACATATAGCTATACCCAGCCTGTCTCTGTGTGACACACTGCCATACATATAGCTATACCCAGCCTCTCTCTGTGTAGCACACTGCCATACATATAGCTATACCCAGCCTGTCTCTGTGTAACACACTGCCATACATATAGCTATACCCAGCCTCTCTCTGTGTAACACACTGCCATACATATAGCTATACCCAGCCTCTCTCTGTGTGACACACTGCCATACATATAGCTATACCCAGCCTCTCTCTGTGTAACACACTGCCATACATATAGCTATACCCAGCCTCTCTCTGTGTAACACACTGCCATACATATAGCTATACCCAGCCTCTCTCTGTGTAACACACTGCCATACATATAGCTATACCCAGCCTCTCTCTGTGTGACACACTGCCATACATATAGCTATACCCAGCCTCTCTCTGTGTAACACACTGCCATACATATAGCTATACCCAGCCTCTCTCTGTGTGACACACTGCCATACATATAGCTATACCCAGCCTCTCTCTGTGTGACACACTGCCATACATATAGCTATACCCAGCCTCTCTCTGTGTAACACACTGCCATACATATAGCTATACCCAGCCTCTCTCTGTGTAACACACTGCCATACATATAGCTATACCCAGCCTCTCTCTGTGTAACACACTGCCATACATATAGCTATACCCAGCCTGTCTCTGTGTGACACACTGCCATACATATAGCTATACCCAGCCTCTCTCTGTGTAACACACTGCCATACATATAGCTATACCCAGCCTCTCTCTGTGTGACACACTGCCATACATATAGCTATACCCAGCCTCTCTCTGTGTAACACACTGCCATACATATAGCTATACCCAGCCTGTCTCTGTGTAACACACTGCCATACATATAGCTATACCCAGCCTCTCTCTGTGTGACACACTGCCATACATATAGCTATACCCAGCCTCTCTCTCTGTGTAACACACTGCCATACATATAGCTATACCCAGCCTCTCTCTGTGTAACACACTGCCATACATATAGCTATACCCAGCCTCTCTCTGTGTGACACACTGCCATACATATAGCTATACCCAGCCTCTCTCTGTGTGACACACTGCCATACATATAGCTATACCCAGCCTCTCTCTGTGTAACACACTGCCATACATATAGCTATACCCAGCCTGTCTCTGTGTAACACACTGCCATACATATAGCTATACCCAGCCTCTCTCTGTGTAACACACTGCCATACATATAGCTATACCCAGCCTGTCTCTGTGTGACACACTGCCATACATATAGCTATACCCAGCCTGTCTCTGTGTGACACACTGCCATACATATAGCTATACCCAGCCTGTCTCTGTGTGACACACTGCCATACATATAGCTATACCCAGCCTCTCTCTGTGTAACACACTGCCATACATATAGCTATACCCAGCCTCTCTCTCTGTGTTTAACACGGTGCGGGCGGCCGCTGTGGCCCCTAGGGGCCCCTCACCTCAGCCGTTCCCGGTTTGACTCCGTCACGTCTCCCGGCGGCTCCTCGCTCAGACGCAGAGGGGGCGGTGCGTGCGCGCGTCTGAAAGTGACGTCAGCAAGTCCGCAGCAAGCGCGCTCCCGGAAGTGATGGAGAGCCGCCGCGTGCACGCGCGGACGTGGGGGCGAAGGAATAGAGCTTGGGGGAGGGGCGGGAAGACACTCATTATTATTATTATTATTATTATTATTATTATTATTATTATTATTAACCCCTTAAGGACTGAACCAAATGTACACGTTGTGAACAAAACAAAATGTACACAAAACCTGGCATTTGCGCTACATGTCTGTCCAACTGTAATTCACCTCTTTAATAGTAAATACACCCACCCTTATTATATATCATTTTATTCAGGGGAAACAGGGCTTTCATTTAATATCAAATATTTAGCTATGAAACATAATTTAATATGAAAAAAATTGGAGAAAATAAGATTTTTTTGATTTTTTTTTTTTTTAGTTCTACATGACATTTTAACGGTCAATGTCATAATACTGTTTGCTTTTACTGCAATAAAATACACATATTTGTATTCAGCAAAGTCTCACGTGTAAAACAGTACCCCCTATTCACAGGTTTTATGGCGTTTTGGGAAGTTACAGGGTCAAATATAGCACGTTACATTTGAAATTGAAATTAACCAGATTGGTTACGTTGCCTTTGGGACTTTACAGTAGCCCAGGAATGAAATTTACACCCATAATGGCATACCATTTGCAATAGTAGACAACCCAAGGTATTGCAAATGGGCTATGTCCAGTCTTTTTTAGTAGCCATTTGGTCACAAACACTGGCCAAAGTTAGCGTTAGTATTTGTTTGTGTGTGAAAAATGCAAAAAAACACCAATTTTGGCCAGTGTTTGTGACTAAGTGGCTACAAAAAAAGACTGTAATTTAATATTAATATATATGTATATATATGTATATATTATTATTTTTTTACACTTATATAACTTTAATTTATCTTATTTTCAGCCAGCAGGGGAACCACCTGTCATCACAGGCAGTCCCCCTGCTGGCAATACAGAAGCCAGCTATCCCGGCCATGTGATTGTGAGGTCCTCGCAAGGACCTCACTCTCACATGGCCGGGGTCTTCCAGGGGGTCGGACGTGCTGCGGGGGGATCCCTGGGAGTCCCCCCAACTGCGATCGCCGGCGTGGGACCGCCGGCGACCAGGTAAGTATAGAAAGATCGGAGGGCGTACTATTACGCCCGGCGGCATTTAGAGCCACTTAGAATAGGGCGTAATAGTATGCCCTCCGGTCTTAAGGGGTTAAGACCACTTAATGTTATCTCACATATATATTATTATTATTCTTATTATAGCCAAATTTACCACCCTAACTTCTCCCACAGTTTTTACACTACATAGACAGTAATATACCGAAACGTGCGGATTGTTCCCGATTCGACTGCTCTTACTTTGTGGAACGTTTCGCCGAATGGTTCGCGGAATATTGTCATTCTTGTGGCAAAATTGGTCCCATAGGAATGAATGGCAAAATGTTCAAAATAGAGTGGGAGCTGGCAAAAGCTGAAAAATCAGGGCATGATTTCTAAACTGCCACCACTCCCTCATTTCCACCTACACAAATCTTATATCAAAACGTTCAGCTATCCCTGCTGCCACTAAAAATGTCCACGGCTAAGCCATAGTCCTGATAATTTTCACAATATGTTTGCAACTCACGCCGTCCATTGACATTCATTGAAACTCCATCCTAGGCAGCTCAAATTTGAAGGGCAATTTCTAAACTGCGACTGTGCCTTCATTGTTAATATTTCAGAGACATTATGCATCATAATGTAGGTCTGGGTCTTGTGATTCTCACATTAAAATACGACTGTTTGAAAATGGCAACCGCCAAAATACTCTGACCTGTGTCAGGCTGCAGCAGCAAGTGATGTCATAGACAGGGCCTTTTGAACACCTGCTAATGTTTTTATAAATGTATGTTTTAATGTAACTGTGAAGCACATTGGGCAAAAAATTTCCACCTAAATCACATTAGTAGTGGTCGCAGGGTGGATAGAGGCAGGGGTGTGTACCAGAACGTTGCTGAGGTAACATACAGTAGACGGAATTCTTTTATCCCGAATAGCCATGAAAAACAGTGGTGGGGGCAAGGCACAATCTAGCGGGGGCAATGTGCACGGCTTATCTCATTGGCTGAGAGCTCTGATGTTTTCAGCCAATAAGCACGGACGAACGTAGTTCGGTCCAAAAACTATTTGACTACTTACCTTGGAGTGTCCCTTTCCCTGAACTCCCGCTGCACTTGTAGTGAAACTCAGGGCTTTATATCCTTTGCTATCGTGTTGCAGCAACGTTCGTTGTATAGGCTTATTTGGCAGCAGGTTACTCTTTTGACGGCCTGTGGTTGAATAGGGATCAGTCTGTTCCAGGACTGCAGTATGCTCCTCTAACTCCGGTGCAGCTAGAGGTTACCACTAGCTGCACCGGATGACACCATATGACATCACACTCTCCCAGAGCTGCTGCACACGAGAGAAGTGGAAGCAGTAAGTGCAGTCCAATAGAAAGCCTGGTCCTCAATCTCCAATGTAGCCCAGATAGGGGAGATATTTATAGCGCTGCGGAATTTGTTAGCGCTATATAAATAATAACATTATTATAATATCTAACTAGGCCATATAACATTACAGGGCCCCATGCAGAGTACTTACTGTTCTCCCATGATGGGGGCCTTAGTTATGGTGTTTTGAGTCATTGTACGCCATCATTCCAGCCCCGTATTCAGAAAACAATTGAATACCCCTGGATATTACACGCAATTTAGCACTGTACCCCAGAATTACACTAACAAAAATGTCTCTAACAGATCTGTGACTGTGCACAGAGCATTAATTTTCTTCTCCTCCGATGGGGATAGGGTTGAAGTGGGCAAGAAGCAGAGACTGGTCCAGGGCCGCCATCAGGGCATCAGAACCATAATGGTTGTCATGGGCCTGGCGGTCCTGGGGGGCCCGGACTGCTCTGGGAGTCCCGGGCCCCACATTCCATTTGTGCACATACAGATAGTGATTATCGCTATCTATATGTTCACCTGCAGGCCCCGGCTACCTGTAGAATGTAGACGGGAACCAGCCAGCACATCTTAACTCTCCAGCTGCTCCTGCCTGTAAGTCTTGCGAGCTCCGCTGTTGGCAGAGCATTGTCACGGGTTACCATGGCAATGCTCCACGCAGCAAGCAGGCACAGCTCGCGAGACTTACAGACAGGAGCTGCTGGAAAGTTAAGATGTGCTGGCTGGTCCCCGTCTACATTCTACTGCGGCTGGCACCCTCCACCGGACCACCAGGAATGCGATATCGCTCCTCCCTGGCCAGGTAAGAAGCAGGGAGGGGGGAATAAAATGTAAATGCCACCAAAAAGGCTCCCCTCCCACCCCTCAATGCAGCCCCCTATTTTACATACAACCCCCACATTTACATACACTAAAACCACAACACAAACACACACTGCATTTACCATACACACACTAAAACCACAACACAAACACACACTGCATTTACCATACACACACTAAAACCACAACACAAACACACACTGCATTTACCATACACACACTAAAACCACAACACAAACAAACACACGCTGCATTCACCATACACACACTAAAACCACAACACAAACAAACACACGCTGCATTCACCATACACACACTAAAACCACAACACAAACACACGCTGCATTCACCATACACACACTAAAACCACAACACAAACACACGCTGCATTCACCATACACACACTAAAACCACAACACAAACACACACTGCATACACACTAAAACCACAACACACACTGCATTCACCATACACACACTAAAACCACAACACAAACACGCACTGCATTCACCATACACACACTAAAACCACAACACAAACACGCACTGCATTCACCATACACACACTAAAACCACAACACAAAAACACACTGCATACACCATACACATACTAAAACCACAACACAAACACACATTGCATACATAAAACCACAACACACACTGCATTCAGCATACAGACACTAAAACCACAACACACAAATATACTGCATACACCATACACACACTAAAACCACAACACACACACTGCATTCACCATACAAACACTAAAACCACAACACAAACACACACTGCATACACACACTAAAACCACAACACAAACACACACTGTATTCATAATACACACACTAAAACCACAACACACACACTGCATTCACCATACACACACTAAAAGGACAACACAAACATGCACTGCATTCACCATACAAAAACTAAACCACAACATAAACACTCTGCATTCACTACACAAACACACACTTTAACTAAAACACACAAAACTACATTCATTATACAAATGTGCAATCTGTATCCATTTAACACACCACACAGGCCATCCTTGTGGGTGGACTCAGAATGGGCCCTCGGGGGCGGGCCCAGGGCGCCAACACTTTGAACTGTGTCAGGGGCCCCAAAATTTCTGATGGCAGCCCTGGACTGATCACACCATCATAAGACAAACCTACAAAAATGCGCTAACTTATAGGAGAGGAAAGGGTTATTTACAGTTTATGTACTAAAAAAATATATGTGATCCTCTGTCTAAAGTGTTTGTTTAATCAAATTCATGAAAAGTTTTAAAGAAAAAAAAATGTGATCTGAGACGGAGCTGTAGTAGTTGATATGAGGATTATTAAAGGGACACCAGAGGCACCCAGACCACTTCATCTCATCTCGGATACTGTGCGGACACTCCAAGCCAATGAGTAATGCACAAATTTGCACAAAATTGATTTTGTTAATGCAGGAGCACAAATGTATGCTTTATCATATCAATGCAGATACAAAGAACTGCGGGCACCCAACAGAGCCAGGTAAGTGCCAAGCCATTCATAAATGTTTAGGAAGCTTACTGTGGGATGGCACCATAACCACTTCTGAGTGATGGAGTGGTTATGGTGCTTAGAGTACCCTTTTAGCAGTTTCTTCATCCAAGGAGGAATGTGGCTTCCACTTGGGAGTCAAGTGTACTGTTGGTGGTTTTACCTTAACTTGGATCAACAGCAGCTACAGGGAAAAGTGAACATTTGAACTCGATGGACTTTAGTCTTTATTTTTTTCTTTAAGCTGTGCTAGTTATATAACTTCGACGTTTTACGAGTACCATATTTGTCCATAAATGCATGTGCAGAATAATACATTTTTGCAATACACGGTAATACTCTATTAATTTGTAACTACACCTGTGATTCTAGAAGGGTAATCATTTTAACCCCTTAAGGACAAACTTCTGTAATAAAAGGGAATCATGACATGTCACACGTGTCATGTGTCCTTAAGGGGTTAAACAGCAACAACTTGTAAAATATCCCCGCAGGAAAGGTTCTTAACCGTTTTTTATATATATATATATATATATATATATATATATATATATATATATATATATATATATATATATATATATATATATATATATATATATATATATATATATATATATATATATACTTATTACGCCCAAGATAAACAGTCAGTTATTTCATGGCTAATCTATGTATGTTTCTTTAAAACCTAATCCAAGAAGTGCCAAGAAACTGGAATTAAAATTAATTTAAATTCATTTTCTGTCAAGCTTCAGAAATAAAAAAATAATTAAAAAAACAAAACACTTTGGAATAAATCACATTTTATTTAAAATTAATCTTATTTTTTAAGCAGTAACTTCATGAGCATAATAGTTTAATATCAACTAAAATAAATATTTTTTGCAAGGTAGAAATTTTCATTATCAGAATGTTCATATTATTTCACTATTAAATTATATAAAATTAAAAAAAAAAATTACATTCCCTGACCGGGAATCGAACCCGGGCCGCGGCGGTGAGAGCGCCGAATCCTAACCACTAGACCACCAGGGAACTTCGTAAAGCTAGTGTGTAAAACTATATTCTATGTTTCAGAATGCCCTCTGCTGGCCGGTTACATAATCTGCAATTGTCAGAATAAATGTTGATATGTAAACCAACATTAACAATGTCATTTAATGTTATTTCCAAAATAGACATTATATTAAGAAAATATATCATATTTCTTTTTTAAAATTTTAAGAAGTTTAATTTTTTTAATCTGCACATTCCCAAGTAGTAAGATAAAGCTTTTTCTGCAAGATATTGAAAGGACATGAACACAATAACTCTTTAATTGTGTGTAAATAGATGATGTAAAGTTTTTTTCAGGCCCATGTCACTTGGAACGAAAATGCGTTCTCAGGATTTACTCATGCACGTTCAGATAGCTGTAGGTGATAAAATGGTGATTGTTTTCTAAACACGGAATTAAATAAAATGACCTGTTCTAAAATGACACAGGCTGCAACTTCAGCCAAGATGATTATTATTTTTCCAAATCGGCTCTTTCGGCCTAAACTTTGCAATTT